CCCCCCCCTTTACCCGGAAAAAAGTTCCTTTTTTCACTGTCTTCCCCAACTCTTGACGTCCAGTCTTTGGATCCCCCTCGTTTGCTGGGCTTTGGTACAAAGCTTTATGATATGGCTTTTTATATCTCTACAGTAAAAGTGATATATAAATCTTTGCAGTTTCAAATATACCTATTATTGTACCATACGTAAAAAAAAAAAAAAAAAGAAACACCAGAATAACGGCATCGCGTTAATGTGTGTCTCTGTGTGAGGTCTGTTTCTTCTCAAGAATATTCCACACACGATCAGAGCTAACTAATAAGAAGGCACATTTGGCCCATTGGACGTATCAATAATTTTTCGCACTTTAAAAGTGAGTATTGCTGGATGTATGGACGCCACTTGTCACTGATATGTACATGTTTACAAAATGACGTCAGAATAACACTGGTGCTTCTATCCCTGCACCGGACCTGTTTCCTCCCTTGCATGCTTTTCCCGGGTACAAAGCAATTTGTCGCCTTGCAGACAAAAAGGCGTATTTGACATATTAATAATTCAGTATATTCCGGGGCGCGTGGCGGACAAGTCCACCTTGTTCTCTCAATCTGCGCCGCGCTAAGATGGCGCCCGGGCCAGGGCTTAATGGCTCCCCAGGGACGTCTCCGCTGGCCCGGCACTGGCGTGAGATGGACAGAAAGATAAGGGAGAAGAATGGGGGAGGAGAGGATGAGACAGGCAGTCACAAGGAGAAAGTGTAGGCAAAATGGATGACCCCGGTCAACAGTGCTGGATAGAGGTTGATGGTGGTGGGATGCATTGGAAGGATAGGAATAAGGGACATAATACGGGGGAAAGGAAAGGGGACCGGGGAAGGGGAGGGGGGTTTTGGGAGAGTTCTAGCACTGTGGATCGATCCACTTTGGCGGGCCTGGAAGTCACGCAGAACTTCTGGCTCAGGTCAGTGAGGCAGATCACAGACAGGAATAGAATAACGAGAAAGGGGAACGTGGGGATTTTCTCTATCTTTCTCTCTCTCT